ACTCAATGATTACGAACAGAAGATCAAGGATTATGAAGAGAAAATCTATGATTATGAACGGGAGAGGATGCGTTACGAACGGGAGATTGGGCGTCTCCAAGATAACCTTTACTATAGAGATAACGAGATCCGACAAGCAAAATTCACCGTGTTGCAGGTATATACGTGTACTTCAGTTAATGAAAAAAAGAAGAAGCAAAAACAAAATATATGAATTGAACATAACTCTTCACTTTTTCTTTCTTGTTTTAGGCGTTGCCCGAACTAAACACTCCAGCTATTGATCCATATGTTGACATATTAAGAATCCCGGGAAGCCTAGATAAAAATATATTTGTAAAGGCGTGCCTCAAGGATCCAATTATCTCTGCTCATGATGATGAAGCAACTAGGGAGGAAAAAGCAAGAATTCTGGCCGATGTTCTGCACTCGGATTGGAAAGCAAAACTCTATGATCCTGATTGGATGCTTCGCCTCAGGGGTCCGGATCAGAGAGGAGATGGAGAAAACGACTTTGTTATGATTGAGATGCCAGATATTGTGGCGGTCAAAGAAAAATATGGCTATGAGCTCTACAATGCTATTAGGACAGGATGGCATGAGGTAAATCAACGTGTCAGAACAGGTGTGAGCCTGAAGCCGTGGAACTATGCCGCTCAAAGAGAGCAAAACTTAAGAGAACTACTTGCTCCACTTGGAGAGAGGATCCGTAGTCTGAGGAACCAGGGTTGAAGGAAATCATATAATTAATACCAACGTTTTATTTTCATCAGTGTGTGTGGCTTTCTATTTTCGTTTTTCCTTTTCACGTGTGTGTGGCTTTCTAATATGTTTTGGTTGCAAAATAGAACTTTCGCATTGGGATTGGGAGAATAAGGATAATTAACCTAACCGTTGGTTCAATAATATTGGTTATTACTTAAAAAAATAATTACTAAGTTATTGTGTACGTATTGCCCTTATATATATTCAAGGATACTTAAGTTTTATTTACTCTTCCTATTGGTACTACACCCTCCATATATGTGCAGAAACTAAATAAAATAATCATCTCATCATACTTGTTGTATTTCTTAAAACCGTACACGGACACAACAATTCCACATGCACGTATAACTTGAGCAGTTCAAAAGATGATTTTGCCTTGGTGTTGTGGTAGAGAAAATTTGGCTAGTATAAAAATTAATATAAGTCAAAAGTTTATACTCGCCAAACTTTATACAATATTAATTTCATATCTAAGTTAAAAAATAATAATATTATATTTACTATAGAATTAATATTGTATAAAGTTTGGCGAGTATAAACTTTTATGAGAAATAAAACGATGACATTAATAAAATACAGTTATCAATCATGTATTTATGTAACGGTTCATAACATTATTTGTAGTTTTTATGAGGTAACTAACATAAA